CTAATACTCCCCCTCAAGCTGAAGCATGAAGGTCACGAATGCCAAGCTTGGACAAGAGCAAATGAAACTGTTCCGTTCCGAGAGCCTTCGTGAAAAGATCAACCAACTGAGATTTAGTGGGGACTTTGCGGGGAGCTATGTCGCTAGAACTGACACGTTCACGAACAAAATAACACTCCATCTCGACATGCTTGGTGCGCTCGTGAAACACTGGATTAGCTGCGATATGAAGAGCAGCCTGATTTTCACAGTAGAGAGGTGTCGGGGCCGATTGAGGAACCTGCAGTTCACCAAGAAGAACACAGAGCCAAAGGATCTCACTGGTAGCACTTGCCATAGCACGATATTTAGCCTCCGCAGAAGAACGAGCAACAACACGTTGCTTCTTAGCATGCCAAGAGACACGTGCCCCGCCAAGGTGAATATAATAACTTGTGGTAGAGCGGCGAATGAACTGACAACCTGCCCAATCGGCATCACTATACGTAGTAAGATCCAAAGAACCAGAGGCAGGGAGAAAGAGACCTTGACCAGGAGCAGACTTGAGATACCGAAGCACCCTGTGAGCCGCGTCCATGTGAGCTGGGCTAGGAGACTGTACAAACTGACTGAGGAGATTTACAGAATAAGCAATGTCCGGTCTTGTGATTGTGAGATAGAGAAGATGACCAATGAGTCGTCGATAGGAGCTCACATCAACAAGACGCTCCTCCGTCGGACGAGTAAGAGTGTGATTCTGCTCCATCGGGAACCCACTGGGACGAGCAGCACCCATGCCAGAATCAGCAAGGATGTCAAGAGCATACTTCCGTTGACTGAGAACAATGCCGGCAGGGGAACGCACAAGTTCAATACCCAGGAAGTACTTCAGAACCCCCAAGTCTTTGATGCTGAACCGTTGATTGAGAAAGTCCTTGACCTGCATCATAACGGACAAGCTATCGCCGGTAATGACGACATCATCCACATAAATAAGAATGGCAACAAATACGCCATCAACCTGATAGAGAAAAAGGGACGGATCCTCCTTGGACATCACAGACCCAAACTCAAGGAGAGCCTCCGTAAAGTTGGTATACCAATTACTGGAAGCCTGACGAAGACCGTAAAGAGATTACCGAAGACGGCAAACACAGTTATCGCCAGCCTGTGCGAAACCCTGTGGCAACTTCATATAAACCTCCTCATCAAGATTACCATGAAGAAATGCGTTATTCACGTCAAGCTGATGTAAAGGCCAACCTTTCTTGGCAGCGACAGTCGCAAGAACACGGACAGTAACCAACTTAGCCACTGGGGCAAAGGTGTCGTGAAAGTCAATCCCTTCTAACTGAGTGAAACCCTTGGCAACCAGACGTGCTTTGTAGCGCTCAATAGAACCATCGGGATTGAACTTTATTTTATACACCCATTTAGAATCGATAGCATGTTTACCTGGAGGCAAAGTCTCCAAAGTCCAAGTGCCTTGTGCTTCCAACACATCAATCTCACGCTGCATAGCAGCGCGCCAGTGAGCATACTTGAAAGCTTGAGCAAACGTCCGAGGCTCGTAATTATGAGACACAACAACCAAGAAAACAGTATGCGGCTTAGAGAAACGATGGTAAGTCACAAAATTGGACATAAGAAAGGAGACATGGGAGGAAGAGGTATGAGGCAGACTGACCTCATAGGAGTCGAGGTGAGCAGGCGGTCGCCGGTCACGCGGGGGATTACGGCGAGGTCCTGCGTCGGGAGAGGATGTTGGCGGCAGGACATGAGTGTGACCAGCAGACATGGAGAACCCATCCTCGATCTCCTCATGATGAGAAGTTAAGGGAGTGGACTAGGTTTCCAAAGCAGGCGGGGAGGATACGTCCGGGACAAAGGTCGGAGGCTCAATGGGATCAACCAAGGGAATGCCAACCTGGTCTACGAACTCTTCATCTGCTATGAGAGGTGGGACGTCCTGAATGTGGTCCGCATGCATGGGAGGTGAGGATGACATGACACGAGGGGTGGGTAAAGGGGACCCGGTGGATTTAAGGAGAAAAGGGAAGATATGCTCAACGAACTGTACGTCCCGAGACACCAGTATCTTCTGTGTTCGAAGGTCATAAACACGATACCCCTTATGTGTACCAGGATAGCCAATAAAGACCCCTGCCTGACTCCGTTCAGCAAGCTTGTCAAGATCATGGTGCATGTCTTTGGTATAGACGAGGGAACCAAAGCTGCGAAGGTGAGAATACGTGGGAACACGACCTAGAAGTACCTCAAAGGGGGTTTTCCAGGACAAAATCGTAGTGGGTAGCCGATTAATTAGGTACGTAGCAGTGAGTACACATTCTCCCCAGAAATGAACCGACAATTCAGCATGAAACATGAGCGCACAGGCTGTGTCAAGCAAGTGACGATGTTTCTGCTCGACCACTCCATTCTGTTGTGGAGTGTCACTGCACGTGGTCTGAAGCACGATCCCGTGTTCCTCATAATACGCACGGAGAGAGGTGGTCTGAAACTCCAAACCATTATCTGCCTGAATACGCCGAACTGCCCGACCAGACTGAGTCCTAACCAACTGACAGTACATGAGAAGGTAACGTTCGACATCAGATTTAAACTTCATCAAGTAAACCCAAGTGGAATGACTATAGTCATCAACAATAGTCAGAAAGTAGCGTGACCCATCAATAGCAGGTGTATGATATGGCCCCCAAATATCACGATGGATCAGATCAAAGCAACCACTTGTCTTGATTGAGCTACTAACAAAAGGAGTTCGAGCTTGTTTAGCTCGTGAACAAGAATCACAATGAAAAGTATCCGAAAGAGCAAGTTTACAGCCGACAAAACTTGCAAATGACTAAGTTTTTCCGAAGCCGGATGGCCTAGACGAGTGTGCCACAACGTCGAAGTCGCCAATGACTGAGAAACCGCACAAACCGACCACTAATGTGTCCTAGTCCGCCGCGGAAAGTAATAAAGCCCGTCTCTAAGATGTCCCACTCCAATCAGCGTCTTGGAAGGTAAGACTCGGAGGACGCAGAAATCATGTAAGAAGGTCACCGCCACATTATGATCCCGCGCTAAACGACTAACCGACAAAAGGTTGCATTTAAAAGCAGGGACATGCAAAACATTGGTAAGGTGAACCGAATCAGCCAGCCTAACCGATCCCTTGCCCTTGATCGGAACCCATGTCCCATATGGAATCTGCACATGTGAATGAGTATTCGACCCATCGACGGAATCCATCCAACTAATGTCACGTACGATGTGCTCATTGCACCCAGAGTCTAGTAACCACATGTCAAGTTCAAGAGAATTACCCGCCATATGCGCTGTCGGGGCAGAAGGAGACTCGAAGGTAGAGGAAGCCAAAAATTCCTTCAGCTGGGCAAGTTGAGCAATGGACAGCCCAGGGATCGGAGATGCTGCTTCGGGCTCCACATGAGCAGCCTTGGATTTACGAGCAGAAGCTGGGCGCTCCTCACCAGACTTAGCACGCGGATGTGCAGCTGGGTACCCAATGAGACGATAGCAATTCTCTTTGGAATGTCCCAATTTGTTGCAATGGGAGCAGCGTACCCGCTCGCGATCATCACAGGAGTCATTATCATGTTGATCCTTTTCAGTTTGAGCTTGGAAGACAGCGGTTTCCACAACCGGGTGACAGGAACTAGTGATGACACGATGTTGTTCCTCGGCCAATACCATCTGATAGGCATATGCAATTGTGGGAGTGGGCTTAGTGCTCAAAATTTATGAGCGCACCACCGAGTAGGCTTCATCAAGCCCCATCAAAAATTCAAAGAGGCGCTCTGTGTCAAGCTGCGTTTGAAGATGACGTGCCCAATCACACAAATAGCCTCCGCAGGTACAGCCACCAGAAGCTCCCCCTATCGCCTACATCTCATCCCAGACGGAGCGAAGCTTGGTATAGAAAGCCGATACCGAGAGTTTGTCTTGCCGAAGTGTACTGAGCTGACGACGAAGCTCATAGGCTCGCTGCGAGGAGCCTTTACTGAAGCGGTGTTGCAGATCAGCCTAGATGGCCCTCGCCGTCGTCGCAGTGCGGACGCTGTTGCGCACCTCGTGCGTCATTGCCGTTTTGAGCCAACCTTTCACAGTCGCATCGCAGCGATCCCAAGCTGCCTGACGCGTTGGGGAACCAGCTTCGGTGCGAGGGAAAGAGTCATCCACGAACGCCAGTTTATTCTTGGCGATAAGGGTCTCTGTTAAGTCATTCACCCATTCTCCATAATTGGATTCGTTGAGAAGATCACTGCCAAAGAGCTGAGCAGGGTTCTCGGATGGGTGCAAATAGAGGGGAGAGCTTATCGGGATTATACCATTGTCGAGAGAGCTAGGTGGCTTGCCGTCGCTAGTCTCCTCACCTTGCTTGTCCTTGTCCATGATGAAGGGGTGAAAACAGGTTGAATCTTATTGCTCTGATACCATGTAGACAAGTTAAAGATCGCGGAAAAGAAAAGAACGAAGAGATTTACGTGGTTTCCCCGGTGATCGGGACTAGTCCACAGAGAGCATAGCTCTCAGTATCAAATCTACTAGGGTTTAGTGTTTTGATGATAGTCTGTGTAGCTTAGCCCTAGAACTCGGCTGAAGCAAACTACTTATACCCTTCTACCAGAAACTCGGGTATAAGCTAATTACAAAGAAGTCCCAGAATAAATGAAAACTGTACAAACAAGTCTAATAACCTATTCGATAAAAGGCGGATCTTTTGGAATGTTTTTCGTCGACGATTGGTGTTCCAAAACACACTATAAATGAGATAATAGCACTGCAAACTAACAAATGTGTCCCTTTATTTTTTTTTTTTGCACAAACATGCCAGTCACGCACCCTTCTATTAAAAGTTATATCCATGAGATGTAAATGCAATGGGAAATTAACGATATGCCCCTCATTATATATTAACTTCGTTCAGCAGAAACAGAAAATGGGCTACTACCACTACAATACCCGAACTATGACAAAAATGCCACTTGTGTCCTATTCTTTTCAATATTTCATTTATGTCCTGAACTATTTTTTCGTTAGATTTGACTTGTTTTGACTGTTAGTTTTTAATAGAAATTCTAGTCAGCGTTGATGTGGCAGATGATGTGGATTTTAAATTACTTTTTATTTAATAGAATAATTAAAAAAACAATGAAAATTAAAAATCTCGTGTCCCTTTTTTCCCCTCTCACAGCCGACTGCATTCTTGAGATTTGGGGTTTTCGACAGTAACGGTGAAGACGGGGCCGCTGGCCGTGAGTTCGGATCCGCAATTTCCAGGCAATGAAGAAGAGCTTGGTCGACGATGACGAACTCAAAGTCACCAGTCTCCTCCTGCCTCTGGTCCATCTCCCTCTTCTCCAAGCACCCATCTTCAAATCATCTTCCCCCAATTTCAGACTCCGCACTGCCCTCTTCACTGCCGCTTCGCTGAGCTTGAAAGCCTCGCCGCTAGTTTATGAGGGTTTTATTGTGTAAGTTTGTGTGGGTAGTCAGGTTAGCTAGGCAAGTGTTCTAGGCATTTATCCAAGAGACGGCGAGCAGAGGGCGGCGCTCGTCTTCCTCCTCTGCATCTGGCTGCTTCTTCAAAGAAGGCGCACATATACGACTTCTTCATCAGGAGCCGACCACCATCACAAATCGGATTCCTCTCGCACAACCACCATCGCACAGACCCGAGTCCGTCTCACGTCGCAGACTCCTATTCCAATTCCCTCTCATCTCCTCCCTCAGATCTGTCTGCCTTGCTCTGCATCGACCTTGCGCATCCTCCAGGTCGTCGCCAATCTCATCGCAGTCGTATCTCCTCAGATCTGCTTGTCGATCGTTGCCATTGTCGCAGTCGTCTCCACCTCCGGAGTCATCAGTCATCGCCGTCATGGCCGCCAACGTCAGCGACACTTTGTACCATCGAGACAAGAAGAAGAGGGAGAAAAGTTGCAGAGAGAAGAGATTTTTTTATAAATATTAATTATTTTTTAATTAAAAATCTTATGTGGCAATCAATGTTTCTGCCACGTTGGCCCAAATCTGACGTCATATTCAAAACCATCTGGTCAATCGTTATATCTAACGGTCAACAAAATTGTCAGGATACAAATGTCACAAAGTATCATAGTTCAGGACACAAATAGAATATTGAAAAGAATAGGACACAAGTGGCATTTTTGTCATAGTTCGGGTGTTGTAGTGGTATTAGCCCAAAGAAATTTAATAGTTCTGTAACAGTAAGGAGACATATTTGTTAATTTGTAACAAAAAGGTATAGATGTAAGATGAATTTGTACCATTAGACATTGAAATTATTCTATAAATATTTTTTTTAAACAATAGTAATGGAGCTAAACAAATTCCCAAGGAAACAGAGATAGAGACAGTACGATTTAGGCAAATGGAGCCAGCTAGGCAAGTAGGCCATGGATTCTTATTTTTGTTGCTATCGTCTTGATCCTGTACAAGATACTTTCCAAGGTCCTAGCCAACCGACTAAAGAGTATCCTCAACAAGGTAATTGTAACATCCCGAACCTTTTCCCGACAAGATATTGTCCGCTTTGGGCCTCGACCCTCACGGTTTTACTCTTGGGGTGCAATTCAAGGTGACTTCCCATAAGGTCACCCATCCTTGTTGTACTCCACACTGAGCACGTTTAACTTCGGAGTTCTCACAAGAACTCTTCCATTACACCCCAAAACGCGTCTTGTCAGTTAAGGTCGGTTTCCTACTTATGAACCATGGATCTCTCCCGTGCTTTGTCGATGTGGGATTCGCCTAAGGTGTTACAAATACCCCCCCTTGGGACTCAACACCCTCGTTGAGGTTTGCCCCACCATCGTTCAAGAGGGACGCGGAGAGGCTCTGATACGAGAGCGGATCCAGTGACTAAGGGGGGGGGGTGCTTAGTCACTTGACTAAGCCCCTCCCAGCCCTTAGATCTGGACACTTCAATCCAATGGTTAAAAAGTGGGAAGGGCTATTTAATTAATGACAGGGGTTGTTTGGGTATTATGGAAAATTATGAAGTATACAAACCAAATTTACAATCAGTACAAACCATACAAACATACGAACAGTACAAACTAGAGCGACAAAACATACAAACAGATTTACAAACATTACAAACGTATGAACTGTACAAACAATACAAACTAGACCGACAAACAATACAAACCATACAAAAAGAAAAAACAACCGGGTTGACTTTTGAGGCTCCATCCCTATATAGAGGGGCTCCTTCCCAAAGTCAACCCGGGTGTTTTTTTAGACATACAAACAGTACGAACATGGTGGACAAAAATGACAATACAAACAGTACGAACATGGTGGACAAAAATGACAAACTAGACCGACAATCCATACGAACGGGAAAAAACTCCCGAGTTGACTTTGGAGGCTCCATCCCTATATAGAGGGGCTCCTTCCCAAAGTCAACACGGGTGTTTTTTAGACATACAAACAGTACGAACATGGTGGACAAAAATGACAAACTATACCGACAATCCATACGAACTGAAAAAATACCCGGGTTGACTTTGGAGGCTCCATCCCTATATAGAGGGGCTCCTTCCCAAAGTCAACCCGGGTGTTTTTTTAGACATAAAAAACATTGCAAACATGGTTGACAAAAATGATAAACACGATACACAAAAATAACAAAGTTTACAAACATTACAAAAAAACCGACAAACATTACAAAATAACAAAGCGTACAAACATTACAAAAAAAATCGACAAACATTACAAAATAACAAAGCGTAAAAACATTACAAAATTAAACGACAAACAATACAAAGCATACTAACCGTACAAAATCTCTCTCTCTCTCTCTCTCTCTCTCTCTCTCTCTCGTGGGAACTTGGGGAATAAATTCCCATAACAAAAAGTGACCGCACAGGCGATGGAATTCCCTGGTCGGCGATGGCGGATCCCGGCGGGGAAAAAAAAGAAACGAGACGGATGGCAGGGAGAGAAGAGCCGGAAAAAAATTATTTAATAATTGAAAATAAAAATAATTATGAACTTACAGTTTTGCCCTTCATTAAAGTAGATTAATTGTAGCCATTAGATTTTAATGAGATGGAAGGGCTGAGATTTACTTAGTCATGTGACTAAGGCCCCCCTCTTAGTCACCTGATCCTAGCCCCTCTGATACCACTTCCTAAGGCTGATTTCGACCACCACCTCTACCACCCTGTGAACCACCACGACCACTCTGAAATCCACTACGGCCTCCCTGGTAACCACCTCTGGCTGGGGCTCTACTAAAGTGGTATCAGAGTCTCTCTGCGTCCCTCTTGAACGATGGTGGGGCAAACCTCAACGAGGGCGTTGAGTCCCAAGGGGGGTGTTTGTAACACCTTAGGCGAATCCCCCATCGACAAAGCACAAGAGAGATCCATGGTTCATAAGTAGGAAACCGACCTTAACTAGCAAGACGCGTTTTGGGGTGTAATGGAAGAGTTCTTGTGAGAACTCCGAAGTTAAACGTGCTCAGTGTGGAGTACAACAAGGATGGGTGACCTTATGGGAAGTCACCTTGAATTGCACCCCAAGTCAAAATCCGTGCGGGTCTAGAGGCCCAAAGTGGACAGTATCTTGTCGGGAAAAGGTTCGGGATGTTACAGTAATCACAGAAAGCCAAAGCGTGTTTATTCTTGGTAGATTATAACTGATAATGTTATGGTGGCGTTCGAGTGTTTTAATGCCATGAAGAGTAGAAAAGTGGGTAAGAAGGGTTTTGTGGCACTCAAGCTTGATATTGTAAAAGCATACGATAGGGTGGAGTGGGCTTTTCTAGAGAAGATTATGCTGAAACTTGGTTTCGACCCTAGATGGGTCAGTTTGATCATGCAATGTGTGAAAACTGTATCCTATTTGATCCTAATTAACAACAACCAATTTGATGTCATCTTTCCTACAAGGGTTTTGAGACAGGGGGATCCCATATCCCCATACCTCTTTCTATTGTGTGTTGAGGATCTTTCGACTCTGACAAGCAAGGCGGTGGAGGAAGGAACTCTGAAAGGGATTAAGGTGAGTTCTAATGGACCTACAATCTCACACATGTTCTTCGCAGATGACAATATTTTTTTCTTTGAAAATAAGAAAGACCAGGGAGAAGCCATGAAGAGGATTCTAGAACTGTATGAACGGGAATCAGGCTAGCAACTCAGCCTCCCTAAGTCTGGACTATCTTTTAGTGGAAATGTGAGGCGGATGAAAGGGATGAGATGGCTAACATTCAGGAGAGGAAACAAGTACAATATCACGACAAATACTTCGGCCTACCCACCACTATTGGGAGGTCAAAGAAGGTTGTGTTCACACAGCTAATTGATAGAGTTCGAAAAAGGTCAAAATGTGGAAGAGTAAAACGATGTCGAATGCGACTAAGGAAGTTTTGATCAAGGCCATCACCCAATCCTAGGGTACTTATGCTATGACTTTTTTTCTCATTTCCCAGGGAGTGATCCAGGAACTACAACGGCTTATTGCAGGCTTCTGGTGGGGTCAAAAGAAAGAAGAGAGAAGGATTCATTGGATGAGCTAGGAACGACTTAGCCAGCCTAAGAGCGAAGGAGGGATGGGCTTTAGAGACCTCCATGGATTCAATTTCCTAGGACGAAATACTTGGAATGTAATAAAGAATCCTAACTCGCTGGTGGCTAGAGTACTCAAAGCAAAGTATTTTCCCAACTGTGACATCTTGAAGCTGAGCTTGGTCACAACCCTGGTTATATTTGACGGAGTCTCTTGGCAGCACAACCACTAACGAGAGAAGGAATAAGGTGGAGGATTGGCAATGGAGATAAGGTGTGTGTGTGTGTGGTGGGATAGATGGGTGGCAAACAGTCCCGATTTTAAGATTGAATTCCCTGTCTCATCTTTGGGGCTTCATGCAAAGGTCTCTGATCTAATCGAGCCGACTAATAGGAGCTGGAAAAGTAATGTGTTACAATAAAATTTCCAAAATATGGATCGGGCTAGAATTGTTCAGATACCTATCCCAAGACGGCAATAGCCAGACGTAGGAGTTTGGGGCTGGGACAAGCTGGGAAAATATACTGTAAAATTAGGGTACCATGAGTGGAGAAGGAAGAACAGAGTAGAGGAAGGGGAACTATATGTCCCCAATTGATTGGAAGCGAATGTGGTACATGTAGTTACCACCAAAGGTTCTTGTTTTTCTATGGCGCTGGGGAAGTAGTGGAGGTTTTAGGGTCAACGAGGAAATGTCGTAGCTCACGAGATGGCTAGGGTGAGTTACAAGTGGGAAGAAACGGAAATGTGGGTAGACAGGCCCCCTGTTTTCATTATTCAGATTCTTTGGAAGGAATGTAATGGCAATTTGCCACCCTAAATAAAAGTATACAGAATGGTTTATAAAAAAAAGATGTTGGTTTTTATGCTCTAGTTTTCGCGAGAAAGAGGAGGGAGGAGGAAGCATATAAGAGAGAATTGGTATTTACGTAATTGACGTCCAAAATCCACATTTTTCTAAACAGCCAAGTGATCTCAATAATCAGTTGATCTCAACAACTCGAGTTGTTAAGAGAAAATTATTACGGATTTTAAACCACTTTCTTAGACGCCCCTCAAACGAAAGACAACTCACGGGCTTGAAATTTGCATAAGCCCACCATACATTTGTGCTTTAATCAATTGTTAATATTGGGGGCTGTGGAGATTCGAACACACGACCACTAGGCCAAACCTAGGCTATGATACCATGTTATAAACTAGTTGGTCTCAATAACTCGAGTTGTTGGGAGAATGTTATTATGGATCTTATACCACTCTCTTACAACTTAAAAGACATCAATTTTTGTAGAATTTTGATATTCCGGAATAAATAAATCGTTGTCAGAACAGAAGCATGCAATCGATAATCCAAACCAACACGAACGAATACAAATTTAACGTGGTTCACTAACACAATGTGTGCTGGTTAATCCACGGAGAGGGGAGAACAAATTTCACTAACTTGAGTAGAGTACAGTTTACAAACCAAATCCGGAACGGACAAATCAAACAAACTAAACTGACTGACCTAAATATAGATTAGGATATAGATAGTATTTATAGAACTCTTCTTCTAATCCCAAACAGAAACCAAATACATTTTCCAAACTTACAAGGCCAAGGCCAAAACAAAGCCCAAACCTAAACCCAAACAGAATAGACCCAAAACACAAAACAAAAGCTCAAATAAAATTCTAGTCATATTCTAACAATCATAAACGACACATAATTTTACATGGTATTCTCGTTCTTGATTGAACGAGACTAATCCGCGGTGAGCTCGAAATAGCTCACGGCTTTGACTTTTTATTTTTGTTATAGAACACTTTCTTACAGCCTACAACAATTAAACGGCCATGTATATTGAGAAAGAGAAAGACTCCAAATTCCACGTTGAACCCCAACGTGGGACATAGATCTCTAAGCCAAAATCCCTGATCCAAAGTAACCCTAAAAAATTTGGAGCTACCATTATTAGTTTATTACTTTCCTTTTAGCTTAGGCTAACTTTCCTCACACTTGTGTCGTCTCTAGCAATTGGCAAAGCTATTATCCTTCAAAACATTTTTGTTGCGAGTCACATCACCCGTCCAAGTCATTATAGTTGGTGGGTGGGAGCTTTGAATTGCTACCGGTAATCGTAATGCTCTAGAAAAGCTGACGCGCTGGCCGGGACTTAGTGTATAAATACTGCCTCTAGCTAGGTTGGAAGCAAACCACACTCGATCTCGAATATCAATCATCTCCTTTAATTTCCATCCTTCCTTCTTTATATATATAGTGATTAAGGTTATGGCTTCCTCCACTTTGATGACGAGTAGCCCTGTGATGAGCGCCACCAGTGCTACTACTGCCGCCCTACCGCGCTCGTCTCCTCCATCCGCCGCCGCCAGATTCCCTTCTCCGACCATGCCGATCATGAACGAGAAATCGTCGTCCGCGACGTCATGCAAACAAGCCGCCTCTGTCAACGGTAAACATGCACTGCAGTAGACTCAGTATACATTTCTCACTTCTAATATCTCAGCGCCTTTCATTAATGTAAACTTGGTTTTTTTTTTTTTTTTGCCTCATTTGAGCTATGCCCGCAGGTGACGGCGTGTTGTATTTACCTGCTCGCATCGTCGGCAAGGCGGGAGCTCCTGGTTAGACCGGAGGGGACGCGGGCTAGTCTTTCTTGGGGTTTAGGACATTCGGTAAGGCCGGAGATGCTGGTTCGACCGAAGGGGATGCGGGCCAGTCTTTTTTGGGGTTTAGGACATTCGGCAAGGCCGGAGATGCTGGTTGGACCGGAGGGGACGCAGGCCAGTCTTTCTTGGGGTTTAGGACATTCGGCAAGGCCGGAGCTGATGGTTCGGCCGAAGGAGACTCGGGCCAGTCTTTCTTGGGGTTTAGGACATTCGGCAAGGCGGGAGATGCTGGTTGGACCGAAGGGGACGCGGGCCAGTCTTTCTTGGGGTGTAGGACATTCACCAAAGCCGGAGCCGATGGTTAGACCAAA